GGGGAGGGGAACATTTGAACAGAAGGATAAGACAAATGCTACCCCTTCCCATCATCAATAAATACATGTAAGATAATAGACATGTTACAGAGGAAATAGGCAACGGAAACATATAAAACACATCAGTACTTTGCAATTATGAATAAATATGGAAAGGAAAAATAACAGTTTGATGAATCAAATGATCATTTAAGTAAACTTAATTCAGAATAGAGAATAAACTCGCTTCCACAGCATAAAAGTAAATAGCTGTGCATTTTCTGTGCTGCTATCAAAAGGAGAAAGTAACAGACCCCAGTGAATCATCGACAAAATGGTCCTTGTCACACACTTCGATAGCAAGCACATTAGGTGATTCCCATGTAAAGATGGGGATCTTGAATTCCTCATTCCATTTTGGAGTCCGTGTCTTCCTTTGCGGCTTAGTCCTAAATCTGTAAGGGCCAAGTTGCCCTTTCACATAAGGATCAGCCAACCCTGAAAAATAGATGCATCCAGTAATTTTGCATATACTTCAGATTGAATGTTGTTGTCCAAAGTTAATAATGTGGTTTGAACAAACCATTTGGGTCTGATGGCTTCATATCAGATGCTTCAACAACTTCCACCATCGCATGGGCAATGGGATCTTTCGCATCAACAGAGAACCAACTTTCTGACATGTGAGATCAATATAATTTTAATGACTAAAGAGTTTCAAGCATGAATAAAAAGGATAAACTTTGGCATTATGGAACCCATCCAAATAGCTAAGACATCAACTCCACTGAATTACTGAGAAAGTTGCACTATAGAAAACATTAAATAATAATAATAAAAACTAGGAACAACATCCACCAAAACCCTTGAAGCTTCCACATATCTTCCAACAAGATAACCAATGGATGTCAAGAACTGTGCTTTAACAAAAAAACATAGGCCAATGATATCCCTTCCCAATAACTGTTTTATCCAAACAAAACCATTTCTTGTACTATCTAGAGGTAAGAAGCCTAAAATTACAAGAGCGAAAACCATAATTTTCCACCAAGGACCAATACGAAGGTTAAATCATCATAGCACGTTATGCGACATGGAATTGTAAACGAATGAACAATCATATTCATGTTAACTACTTTCAATACTGGGAAGCTCCTTGCTTGTCTCTAGAAACCGATCCAAAACCATTCATCAAATGAGTTATCAGCATGTTCATTACCAAAATTGTGCCATTCAAAAAGCAGAATGACATTATAGTATATCAAGGTTTACTGGATCTTCAAATTCAGGTGTAAACAAGAGTACTAGTGTCTACATATCCACTGACAAGTTTATGCACACTAACTGAATTAATGTCGACGTATATGTTGTGTAAAAACTGACTTCTAAAAACTGTAAAAGGAATGAAAGAAAAACAAAGACCTCAATTAAGAACACTTGACATTTAAAATGTACTTTACTCTTTTAAGTATAACGAGTAACAAATTATTTTGCACTTTCCATGCATCATGACACATCCTCTAGTGACATTTACATATCTTATATTTATAAGAATCATTTTTTTTTTTGGGGGGTGAAAGAGCTTATGAAGCCTTCTCTCTCCCTTTTTGTAATTTACAAAGTTTGATTAACCTAATTAGAATATTAAGGTTTATCCATTCACATTCTACAAAGTGGTCCAAATAATCTGTTCTGCTCCTTCAATTTCTAACCACCATTTGTTTAAAATAAAAAATAACTTTTATTAGCCTATAACTTTCTATGGTTCTTCAACTTTCCAAGTGGTGGGTTGGGGGGAATCAAAAGGAAAATGAAACAAATATGACGGGTCATCAATACCTGTGCATCACATGGGTTGACGCCACTAGTAATCGTATAGTTACATGCATTATTTCTGGCATTTTAACAGTTAACCACAAAGCAATGATCCTAGATCCTCTGGCTAGGACTGCAAAGCCAAGCTAATTGTTTTGTGTCATGAATTACCTGGCTGGGGTGAGGGTGAAGCAAATTTTTCCACATCAACCACCAGCATATTGGGCTGCACAAATAGTGAACATATAGATTTAAATGTAGTTGTCGATAATTGTTTTCTTCATATTAAACCTACAATCACTGCATCCTGAACTGCTCAATCAACATCCATCAACTAAAGGAGAAGACATGACTTAACAACAAAAAGCGGGATGAAATAATAGCCTAACAAGGAGGAGACATGAAGTATCAAAATCTGCAAAACTGCACCTCAACAAGTGTTTCCTCAAAGGCAAGGGCCAGAAGCTTATCCTAAACAAGGAAAACCAAATAAATGGCAGTCAGTGTGTGTGTGTGTGAGAGAGAGAGAGAGAAAGAAACAGAGACAGATATATATATATATATATATAGAGAGAGAGAGAGAGGGAGAGAAAGGCAGGAACGGAGAGATCATTGTGCCCAATCCATGAAATTATCCTACCAGCCATCCAGCGATCCCAGGAAGTTCTGTAACATCAAGGCCACGCGTGAAAAGAGGTTTCACAACCATCTGAAAATATGGAGGCTCCGCAAAGCAGACACGCAGACGACCAAGGAAGGGCCACTTGTGAAGGAACTTCAACCCAATCAAGACCTAAAAGAAAGAAAGAACAGATAACTCCTTAAAAAAAGAATGGCTTATTAGATATCCCATTGTTAAGAACATGTCAATTACTGAGAAGACAAGTAAAAGCTGAAGTGCGAAAATTTTGGGCTGAACTAACAAAAAACAACGACACAGTATCTTTATGATACATTCCAGAAGCCGGGTAACCTTAAACTACATAAATGACAAGTTAAATTCTATTAGGACAGAAAACATTGAAAAAAAGCCCATGCTATTATGAGTAATGTGCAACAAGGGATGATGATTCAAATGACAATAAATTGATCAAGGGCCTTGTGCCTATAAAGGGAAAATTTTAATTAAAAAATCTCAAAGTATTCAACAAAAAATGTTCTTGCATCAAGGGTTTATTCCATGCTACACATCAAACATTTTGTCTGTATCTAATGGACCTGTTTCATTTCTGTTTCTCTTCCTGTCTAATGAGATATAAGCACTCCAGAAAAGGATCCATACAGCCAACCTAAGTAGTTGGTTCAAGGCTTGATGAGTTTAGATGAGTTAAGTTTGAAGTTTAAACTGCCTAAGCATCAAATACTTGAATGCCTCAAGGCCTACGAAGAAAGCTCACAGCCATAGCTTGGACTACTTTGTCATGCCAAAAGCTCATGCATATCTTACCTTTCCTTCAATGTGCATGCCCATCAAATGCAACTTTGTCCGCATTCCTAAACCCAATCTTTTCCTCAGTTTTACAGCAAGTATTGCACTCATATCATCCGCAGCACGAAAATTAATTCCCAATTCCAAAACCTGCATTTAAAATCACTTTAGCAAATAAGTATATAAATGCTGGTCACTACTACCAAAGCAATGAAGGCAGTCCATAATGCCTGAGTCAAAATTGCATACCAAGTGGTCGTCATCATTAGGTTGACGAATAACCCTCATTTCAGTGAAAATAGGTGGAGATCTTCCCATATACAGATGCTGAACCACAGCTTTCTTCTACAAGTATACCAAAAATGATTCTCAGGATCACAAAGAATCAGAACTCAATCTCCACACCAAGGTTGCAAACTTGCCAGCTCATTACTAATAATACACACTACAACAATGCAAGCATTATCCACATAAACAATTCGTCATCAAAGTAAACAGACTGCTCTTAAATTGTGGGGTTGTGGCATACACAATTAAGGTCCACAAGGCCACTCAACTTGACGGAAACTTCAAACCCAATTGAAGTGGCATTCATTAACAACAGACTATCAGAATGTAAATAAGATGTTCAAGGCATTTTCCTTTGAAGGAAGAGGCACTTCGGATTAAAGCAAAAGCATGTAATCAAGGAATCAGAAAAGTATTAGGAGGGAAGCCCATACCACGGTCCACGGCTTGTACTTCTGCAAGAACCAAGGTATGATAGGGAGGAGAATTTTCTGGGAAATAATCTGCTCAATACAAACAAGCCAGATTTTTTCAACAGCATTGTTTAACCAACGCACTGTTTCGGACTCAAAAAGTGCCTGCAGAAAAGCAAAAGTAACAAAGAATTAAGAACTTTTTATGAGCATACATAAGAGAATCTACTGAAAAAGTGCATTTTATGAAATCTCAAACTTTTTATTGCTTGTGAACTGAGAACCAAAGGTCCCACCCACTTCATCTTTACATAACTTTCGAGCACAGTTGAACTTGTTATTTTCATCTCCTTCTTTAGGTTTTCTATCTCCAAAGTATGAAACTAAGACATATAACGCCTATCCTACCGTCGATGTGTGTCCTCAATTTGCTAAATAGAAAATACCCATTAAAGCAAATATATTCGAAAGAAAGTTTACCCTTCTTCGACTAGACTTTCTTCTTTCCTCAAATTGGATTTTCCTCCGCAATCTCATATCATATCGCTCATAAATCTGTAAGAACAAAACCACACCCATGAATCCAGATAACAAAACTTCAATTCCAAATATGTGTGTTAAAGTCCGAAGATAATACTCGCGCTCTCTCTCTCGCTCTCTCTCTGGCTTACCAGATAGAGATAGATTAGGGAGAGAAAGTAGGCGATTGGGTGGCAACAATTGAATGAAGAGAGTATCCACAGCAAAAGAAGCACAATTCCCACATGAAGTAGAATCGAAGCCTCCATCAAGTCCATTCTCGTTCTGAGAGAAAACGGTTTCGTAGCAGCGAAGTAAACCGGCGACGGGAGACACCGGAGACGAAGAGAATAGACCGAAGCGTTCACAGATTCAACCTTAACGATGACTGGTTCTTCGTTTTGAAGTTCTTACGCTTGACTTGGGTTTTGTCGCCACGTATCCTTTTTGTCGGAGAGAGAGAACTCTCGGCTGGGTTTTGATCTGTAGTACACCACAGTCGGAGAATATTCAACCAACTGGATGTACTCGAAAAACGGACTAGACATCACCGTCCAATAAAAACTCAACAACTAAGCAAATAGATCCTGAGATATATTTTATTATATATATTTATTGAATAAAAAAAATCATACGATATTAATAACATTGTAATATCGAATTGAATATTTACTCATAAGTGTAAGGGCGGGAATTAGTTTATTGTTGTTAATCTTAATCTCTCACTGGATTTAGAGAAAGTTTTATTATGACTCGCAATCAATCGGTTGGTTTAATGTGTAATAACTCATACTTTTTCGTCTAATATTTGGGTTTGAATTTTTATATTTATAATAATTTAGTGAGATTAAACATATTTTTTAGTGTTCAATATATGCAATAAAACTTTAATTTCAACCTAATATAACTGCTGCGATAGCAAAAAATAATATTTTCAGGTGAACTTGTAAAGTGATCTATTTATAATTTTTTTAATGCACAAAAAACAGAAAGAAAAAGGAATCCAGATAGACTCATTGATGAGACACAATAAGCTCAAGGAGGGAAGATTATACTTGAGAGTCATATTTTAATTAGGGGTGTCGACTTTAACCCGTTAATACGAATTTGACACGAACGATTAAAAAATCGACACAATTATTAAATACGCATAATAAATAATCTAGACTAATTTTGAATTTTCAAAACACATTAAACAAAAAAAAAATTTGTGGGTCATAACACGAATAACAATGACTTAACTCAAATAACATCATGTATGCGTCACACGAATACGATACATTTGACCCCCTAATTTTAATCATGCCATGCTCACGGTTTTAGTCTCAATTTGCTTGACGCATGTACGTCATGCGATTTTATTTTATTTTTAATTACATATTGATTTTTATATTTTTTAACACAAATATAGAATAACCTTAAAAATTATTTAATTTGTATGATACGAGGTGTCAAAGCATGTTTATTAAATATAATTGCCCGAGATGTATTGTGTCACTCGTATGACCAATACATAATGTTAGATTAAAAAATGATGTGGTTTTTCACAATTGGTTCTTATTGTAAAAAAAAAATTTTGGAAAACTAAGTTTAAGAAAATCAACTCTATTTGAAATAACCTAATCAGATTCAAACTTCCCGCATTTTATTGTCCCTTAGTTTTTAATAACTTAATTACTCATTAATATGATAACTCTTAAAATTGTGCAATTACCCAAGTTTCTCTCCTACTTACTCTCTCCCCATTTTCCTGTATTCTCCACACATATTCTCTCTCCTTTTTTAAATTTATATTTTTATAACAATCAATTTGGGAGAGAGAGTACTTATGAGATCTTCCCTCATTAAAAATTAATTTTTTTAATTTTAAATTATTTAATAACAATACATTAATCTCATCCAATTAAATTATTGGATTAATTACAAAATACCCCTCCATATTTGGGTCATGTTGCAATCGACTCCTTGGGTTTTAAATTTGACAATTTGTCCCCTTAAAGTTTTTTTAGGGGACAAAATTAATTGATTGAGTGAGTGAAAAATGTGAACTTCCTAAACTACCCTAACATCAATTTTTTTTTTTTTTCATTTTTGCTTTGTATTCAGCTCCATCCCAACTCTGGCAATGCCCCCAATCCTCTTCCCCAGCTTTGGCCCTTCCTTCCCTCCACATACTAGCTCCGACAAAGCTCCCAACCCCTTCTTTCTTTCTCTCTCTCTCTCTTTTCCAAATGGGTGTTGCCCAATGGAGAGTAGATTTCTTATGGGGTTTGGGCTGTTTGGGGGCTATTACTAGGGGTGAGTTTTGGTTTCACTGGAGGAAAGGGAGGGAGGGTAGTTGTTTAAGGGTGGGGTGAGTGGATGTTTGGTTTTACCAGTGCTTCTGTGTATGGATGTTTCGGTTTCACTAGAGGGATTTCAATTGTTGGGGTACAAGTGGATTTTGATTTCACTGGAAGGGGAGGGAGGTGGATTGTTTGGGTGGTGATGAGTTTCGGTTTCACTGCTGGGGGAGGGAGGAGGAGGTGGATTATTTGTGTGGGGTTGGGTTTCGGTTTCACCGGAGGGGTAGGGAGGTGGGTTCGTCGGAACGAGAGGGAGATGAGTTTTGTTTTCACTAAGAGAGGTGGGTTCACCAGACGAGGATGGAGATAGGTTTTGGTTTCACTAAGGAGGTGGGCGGAAGGGGAGGGAGGTTTTATTTTTATTTTTATTTTTATATAAAATATTAAGATGAGTGTAGTTCTGAGTTTTTAATAAACTTCTGTCTTTTTTAACTGTGGTCAATTAACGGTAATAATTAATTAAAAATTATTCAAATTTGGAGGGAGTAAATTGTTGAATTTAAAACTTGAAAGAGTCGATTACAACCTGACCTAAATTTGGAAGAGACATTTTATAATTAATCCTAAATTATTTTATGTGACTTATGAAATTACTCTTACAAAATTACTTTAATTTTTAATATGCCATCTTTTTAATTTAACACAATGGATAATCGTCTAAGAACAATGTTATTGGGACCTAATTTACTGATCTAAATCACTATGATATTTGAATTAATTATAGAGCCTATCAAACATCGAAACTTAATATTGATTCAATAGTTATACTGAAATCACATAATTATATCGATAAATTAAATTAAAATTTTATGTTCAAATAATATTACTCATCGCCTAATAATATTAGAGTTGGAAATGAGGGGTGACAATTGGGGCTTGGGTGAGAGTGATGATGACAATAGAGTTATAAGATTGTGATAGAATATCCTGTAATCAAGTGGCCAACTGGAAAGTCCTGTAGAAGGATTGCAACCATCATTCATTTATTTAATGACGTCTATCTTTCTAATAAAAAAAAAGAAGAAATTAAAAATAGTACAAAATTTGGCTAATTTTATTCTAATTTCATGTCAATTTTCGGGGCTACATACTATCGGTAGTGGGCAAAAGAGGGTCTCCCAATGCTTGTGCTTATCCTCAACAGTGGATCCGCTCGGATGGCGTCACGCCACGTCAAAAATCTCTTCCTTTTAAAAAAAAATTTCGGCCACATTTCTTTTAATTTATTATATTTCAAAGACATTCTTTCTATTATCAAAAATATTATTGACATGCGTTTTAGTTTATATTTAAACACCATTGTTACCCCGCCATTAAATCACTATTTCTAATAAAAAAAATTTATCTAAAATATCAAAAATGTCCTTACATAAACCCCAAAATATTTTTTCTACATAAAATTTTATTAAAAATTTGAACTGATTAAAATTTATTTTTTTGCATATTAAAATTCAAGTTGATTAAAATTTATTTTTTCACATATTAAAATTTCAACCGATTAAAATTCGATTCAAGCAGATTAAATTTTATTCTTTTTTAGGTATTAAAATTCGAACCGATTTGAACTCTACCCGAGTTGTTAGAGCTGATTAAAATTCGTTTTCTAGACAATTAAAATTTATAATTTTTTACTTATTAAAATTTGTGTCAATTAGAATTCGAGTCAATTAAAATTATTATTTTTTTGATTTATTAAAATTTGGATAGATTAAAATTCAATGCTAGTTAATTAAAATTTGATTTGATTCGATTAAAAATAATTTTTAATTGGCTCAAATAAAATTTTAATTGGCTCAAATTTTAATACATAAAAAAAATATAATTTTTAATCTATTCAATTTTAATACGTAAAAAATAAATTTTAATTAGTTCGAATTTTAATACGTAAACAATTTTAAAAATAAGGGGTGTCTCGTTGAAGATATGCTTATCTAAAAAGGGTGTGGATGAAGTTTGCATGTGCAATTTAATAAAATTGCATTCTAGTTATCACTTTTAATTTAACAGGGGTGTAAGTGAAGATTCAAAAAATAAAAAAATATCCTTCAAGATTTAAGTAAACTAGAGAGAGTGTAGTTAATGATGTGGCATAGCGGGATTGAATATTGTAACAACCGGGCCGATTGGATTCCATTATTCCGTAATACTTTTAATGATAAATTATACTTAACCTCGAATATGTGTCACTTAATCAATAGATACTGTCATGGTTAGAATTGTATTATTGTCGGCCTAGTACAAAAATTTAAAAATAACACCAGTCTGGTGCTAAAGTGCAAATATACCCATTTAGGAGGGTTTAATTAATATCACCTTGGGGTGATATAATAATGGGGTAATGAATCAACATATGGTATTACAAGGATAAATTATAATATTATTCCTTTCGATGCCTATGTTTTATGGCGAGACAAGGGTACTAAAATCAATTGACACCATATAACACCTCTTTTTTTTTTATTGTGGGGACCACAAGAAATATAAATTATCATATTATCTTTTTTAATAACTCATGGTCTAAATAGATGTGAAGAGCATTCAAGTCAACCTCAAATGCAATTATTACATTTCGTGGACGCTCATGTATTGTAAAAAACTTACTCAAACGTTGTCTAGGATAGAAAAAGATAATAAACTACGCTTATCAAACCCAAGGGCTGGAATGAATACTCTAATCTCACCCAATTAATTCCTTGAAACAAACATGTCTTATAGCCATTGATTTATCTTTTCATTTCAATTACTCTTCCTTTGGCTCATGGTTGCCATACAAATTTTGAATACACGTAATTATGTACAAACCACAACGGTAATACTTGGGTATTACACAGTCAGAAGAACTAAAATTCATGATTTGTGAATTTAAGTCAACTCATCGTTGTGAGTTCACGACAAATATGAGTGTTGATGGGGAGACGACATGTGTCCCCGGCATAGTGGCCTCAAAGTGTTCTCCGCTTGACACGTGTCATTGGCACGAATCTCTTCGGAGTGTTCTCTGCTTGACACGTGTCCTCGACATGAATGTACCCGGAGCGTCGTTTGCTTGACACGTGTACCCAGAGCATCCCCTATTGCTTGACGCATGTCCTCGACATGAAGCCTTTCACACCAACAAAATATGAACCACAGTTTTGATAGGAAGCCCCTGCCAACTGAGAATTTTTAAGTTTCTAAAGAAAAAGAGAAGGTTAGATAATGCAAGCATACCCATAATCGGGGTAAACATAGGGTATCATGACTTGGAAGAGGGGTTGACTAACAATCATCGATCCCCTTTTCCAAGGCAATTAGAATGGCAAGGAAGATAATTGAATAACCAATGATAAAGGAGTACAAAAGTACAAACCATTAAATTCTTGACTTCTAGGAGAGTAATTGACGAAAATGTCCCCATGTGTGCGCAGCCACAACAGTGGCACATTAAATGACCCTACAGAAGGATGTGACATATTTATTGATTGACAAAATCAGAAAGGTGAACATTAAGTGCTTGGGAATCCAAGCATAAAATGCAGAAACATCTGCCACTTGAAAAGGAACACACTCTGTTCAAGGTTTTTGCACCACATGTTGCTTTCCAAGTGAGTCAATTAGGAATCTTCCCTCAAAGAGACTCAGCTGTCTGCAATGATTAACTCCTAAGAGATATAAGTAACACTCTCAAGCTCAAGTCTAATGCATACAACCTCTAACCCAAGCAATAGAATAGTGTTTTACAAATTCTCTCTCAAATACAAACTTGATTGTCGAAGGGGTCATGCCGAAAAATACTCCGGTGCCCTTTTAATCCTTTTTCTTTGAGTGACAGGATCCAGTTTGAGAACTCACAAGTGAATAGATTGTGTGTAGAGAGTTTCATCACCGTTCATTGCGTTTCACTTGCTGTGGGATATTCAACTTTCCAGGCAAGCTCGAGCTCACCGGGGAAGATATCTATTATCTTATTCATTGTGCTAGAATCATCCAGCACAAGTGTACATCCACATCATTTAGTTCTTATTTTTCATCCTATTATTTAGTTAGTGTAACATTATTCATGAAAATATAATGCTTAAAGTCAAGCTAATCCCATTATAATATTAGCAAAAGCATATGAAGTACTGAAGTGGGATGGGGCCTAATCCTCATTCCACACAAATGACGAAAATGAAACGGTGGAAGGGTAATGGAGTAGTTATTATTTTGTACGCATCTTTTTGTTTGCGTGTGGATACTTTGAAGAAGTAGATCAAGATCAAAGACCACAACGGTAATGAATAAGGTATTGTATCAAAAATTATAAGTCACAAGTCAAATTACAAATAAAAAAAATCAATTATGACTGAATGAGGTAAACTACATCTAAAAAACATAAGAATCCATCCGAAAATATTAAGGTGGTCACAATTGTAGATCAATCCTAAAATATTATCATCGATTTCAAATAACTTTATTGTCATAATGTCACTTGATTGAATAACAATCTCACCTTCTCATTTTACAATAGGAGTGCAACTTGAGCGGACTAATGTGAACCCAACCTAAACTTGGCCATACAAAAATAGGGCTTGGGTTGAAGTTTTTAAAACTTAGGTTGGGCTTAGGCCGAAAAATCTCAACTCGATTTGAATTTGGACCCCATTCGGGTTGAGTCTTCAGGTTCAACCTGAATCTAACCCAAATTATTGAAATCGGACTCAACCTGAATTCACAACTCGAAGTTCAACATGAAGTTTATATATATATATATATATATATATATAATATTTCAGGTTAAACTTAAGTTGGTCAAACTAATGTGTCAATACTCAAATTCAATCCGAAGTGAGTCGGAAATTAACTTGGTCAATACTTTGGTTGGCAGTTGGACTTGGTTTAAGTTAGGGTTGAAAATTTTACAAGTTGGATTAGGACTAGGTTGATAGAGGGGTGAGTAGTCTCCACTCCCGTATCCGGTTCAAAAATATTCATCCATCACCGTTAGTGGGAAAAATTATAATCCTGACTCCGTTCCATGACTAAATTTTGATCCTCTTCTTCGTTCCTGTCTCTGTCCCCGCCATTGTCCATGTCCATAACAAGTAATTTCTATGATTTTAAGAAAAAAAATTAAAAAACCTCACAAATGGTTCTGCAAGAAGGATAAAACCCTATCATATAACAAATGGATCAAAAAAAAAAAGGAGAAAGTAAAGTGTTTTTTTTTTGTTGTTCTAGAGAAAAGAGTGTGTTGAGTAGGGTTTATGATATTATACATATGTATTAATAAGTGGGTGAGATTTGTGTTTTGTGATATTATATATATATAGTCATAACTTATGCCTATACGCATGATAAAATATAAAATTCGACTCAAAAAATCGATATCACTATATTAAATAATAATTTTTTCCTTCATTTCTTTGATTACATCATTCAAAATTTATTTTTACTCATTATTTTCTTTAAAATATTGACAAAATTTTCTCAAAATACGTAATTCGATAAAATTTTCTCAACATAAATGTATTATTGTGTATAGATAATATCTGAAATAAAAATTATGTTTAACTATAAATTAATCAAATATTAAATAATTGAACATGTGATAGAAATGAGTGATGTAATGATTTTGGGGGAAAAAAATATATATAGGTGATAAAATTTAACTTCCTATGTGTTTTATTATATGAATATATCACGGGTTTAGCGGGACGGAGAGGGGCGAGGTGAAAGCGGAGAGAGGATGAGTTTCAGTTCATCCCCGCACAGGTTTATACAAATATCGTTGTATACATCTACCGTTTAATATGCATGAATCATCCTTGATCCAAACAAAACGGATTTGGACGAATACTAATTTTTTTCCGGTAAACTGTCATCCCTACTCCTAAAAGAAGTTTTAGGTCATCAAGAAGACTAACAACTTAACTAAATAAAGGGCCATATGCCACTGTATTGGCTTTTGGCATGCATGGCCATAAACGTGAACACAGAAAGGAACTAATCCCTGAGGGTTGTGCCAAGAAAATATCTATTCATGGATAGGTGTAAGACACAATCCTGCAAGCCCCCGAGTACACCACCTATATTGGGATACCTACCAGCCTTTGAGACTATAATGTGGTGCTAAGTGTTGAAAATTCAAACAAAAGTAGAAACTTTTCTCTGCTTGATGAATATTAATGCATGCAGAGTTCTGATGCTCTCACATGGGTTCCTAAACATGAAGGAAGGGTTTCTGGTTTCGTTACATCTCTAAACACTGCCTTTGGAAATCACTAAAACACCCTTCGGATGAGGTTACCTCACCGACTTATACACGATTACAAACAAATCGGATATGAGATGATCAAGTTAATTTTGACACCAAAAAACTTCTATGTTTTATAAATATGACACGGCACAACCATATTTAGGATTGACTTTATTGGTGAGATTCCTTCACTATGTTCTATTAAAGACCATATTTTTTATTAAATTGCAAGCTATCATAACTTCACCTACAATCTCATTCAAAGTGAATTTATGCCGACCCCTATCTCTTGTATTATAATCACTAGGCAATACATCAATCTTACCCACTAGTCCACTATCAAGTCTTCAATAAAAATATCCAAAACAAGTGAGGTGGTTCTCTTTAACTTATTTTCTATTGTTACATTTAAAAATATACTCATTTCTGATTATATTTTTTCTCTTGCTAAAGTAATATTGTCTGTTTTGCGTCTTTATTAATTAATGGGTTTAAAATGCGTACAACATTATTCAATGACTTTTTCTAAACAAGCGATGTGGTATAAGTATATAAATTAGATACCTCACCAATCTCCCCTTTTATCATAACCTTTTGGTCTATTCACTGGTTGGACTTTCGGCTACCATAGCAACCCAACAATTACTTTTGATTAAGCTGGAACATATTGTCATTTGGCTTGTAGTCAAACTAGGTTTGGTAACCAAGTGGTCTTGGGTTCTTCTTCTATGCTTCCATCTATAAATAACACTCAATAGACATTCCTTTGTTACCCACCAAATGAATCTCTTCCACTTCCATCTAACTTTTCTGTCTCTCTTCTTCATTCTTCTTTATGTCTTCCTTCTTTTGTTTCTCTTTTATGTTATACTCACCATGCTTCATATGTTTTTTGCAGGATACAAAGAAGTTGAAGTCATTGGGTACATTAGTGAGTGAGGTTGATGGGGAAGCTAGTCTTTTACTTCTGGTTCGGTTAGAAGGGAAGATCTTGCTCAAGACCGCGCAATTTATCAATGGAGCACTGCATCAGGGTACAGGTCTATCGCTTCGCTGCCTAACCATAAAGCATCAAGCAAAGACCGCAAAAATGAAGGCCGTCCTTATCCGTAAAAGAGAATGAAGAAATTATGGATAGATCTCTACCTTGATGCGCTGCTCATGTAAATGGGTTGTGTGGACTTGCGCAAGATCATCCTGAATGCACACAGATACGTACACACACTAATATATCAACAAACATACACTTCGTGCTCTCTTCCTCACTCTAGAAATGATGTTGTATGATGCATGAAATCAAGAGCCTTCTTTCATAATATAGTCTCCTACAAACTTATATATGCTTAGTCTGTATGTTAAAAGCTATATATAGTTCATCGATCCAAACAACATTTTCCTTTTTTTGAAAAAAATGAAATATAGAATCAGATCTAATATTGTAATAGAATCGATAATGTTATTTTTACTTTCAGACCTAATGTATTTTGATGTTTAGATTGATAGTAGAATTCATTTACTTTTTGGACCCACCGTTAATTTAATAATCATAATTCATTAGATCATCACTTTTATGTCCTCAAATTAGATATCAATAGCATTAGTCTTATAAAATTATTGATTTATTTCTGATAGGCAATGTTATTGGAACCTAATGTGAGGACTTGATTAATTATTATCATTAGATTAATTGTAGGTTTGAGTATCGAATGAAGTTTACTATCCATCTAATCGGCACAATGCATTAAGTTCCAAAATTAAATCCCAAATTTGGTATAAGTAATATTATTAATTTTCGAACTCCAATTGAATTTTTATCAGTTAAGTAAATTCTCATTTAGTTTCTTTTTGGATGTTAGAACTCTTTATCAATGTATCTCTATGTTTATTTATTAGTTTGGGCTAAGTTTAGACCCAGGTTGTTATTGTCAATCAATTTCTTGGCTATTGCTTTTTTTTGAAAATTATAAGACTTGATTTGATTAATATCTATTTCTTATGGTAGTTTTTCCTTTTTTTTTTAATTGACAAAATTCTTTTTAATTTGACTAGTAATTGACTAAACCAAAGGTGACAGTAGTTGTGGTAGTATGATTTTAGTGACAATGATGATTAATGTGGGAAGGTGATGGTGGTAGGGCTGGAGGTGGTAGCTCTAGTTGATTGTATTAGCAATGTTGTGTTTTAATAAGGCTGAAAGGTGGATATCATTAAACAAGATATCTGTAGTTGTTTATATTATTTTGTCAAAATCAATGTTTTTTTTTATAAAAAAAAGGGTTAATTGTAAATTACAATGTGAAAAATCGTTCGAATTTTAATTTGCAACCTCAAAGATAAAAAATCTTAATTTTTATTCTCAAATATAGAAATTTATATCAATGTGCACCTCCAAAGATCAAAAATATCAATTTGTACATTCAAAGATAGAAATTTGTATCAATGTGCACCCCCAAAGATTAAAAATCTCAAATAGTAACTTTAAAGATATAAATTTGTATCAATCTGCACCCCTAAAGATCAAAAATCTCAATTTGTACCCTTAAAGATAGAAATTTATATCAATGTGTACCTAAAACTAACTACCGTCAGTTTGCTGCCTAAAATTAAATTGATAAATTATACCTAGATCCCCTCATGCTTGTCACTTAATCACTTGAACCTTTTTACATCTAGAATATTACTCCTACATCTTATAACGTTTGTGCACGTGTAACACATAACCCTTTTTAGTTGATATCTGTTAATATAACCGTTAAAAAATATGATTTTATTCTAATAAAAAATTTTAATTTCATATTACTCTTTATTTTGTGAAGGGGTCTAAATGATTAAGTGACAAGCATGAAGAAATCTAAGTATAATTTATCAATTTATTTTCAGGCAGTAAATTAACGACAACTAGTTTTAGGTGTACATTGATATAAATTTGTATCTTTGAGGGTATAAATTGAGATTGTTTTATTTTTGGGGTGCATATTGATACAAATTTCTATCTTTGAGGGTGCAAATTAAAATTTTTAATTTTTGAGGGTGAAAATTGAGATTCAAACGATTTTTCGGAATGTAATTTACAATTAACTCAAAAAAAATTGAAAATACATAGACGAATCTGTAATACCCCACATGCGTTTAAAAAAAAAATAATAAAAAAAAATAAAAGACATAGGTGTTCAGTAATTATTTCATTTGAAATGATAAAATAGTATAACTCAAGGAAATAGTAGTTAAAAGATTAGTTTCGGTATGAAAATGTACAAAATAAATCATAAAAGAACTTGAACTAATTAGGTCGATGTAGAAAAGTATGTAGGATAAGTTAGGATTAAAGTTGGAAGGATTGGAAGTGAAAAGGGGCGCCCAAATGGGCGCTGGGGCGCTGCTCCGGGTACATTGCTTACTCCGGACCAGTTGTCGTAGAATCGTCATAACTCTTGCTACAATGGTCCGATTGAGCTGAAATTTTGACACAATGCAGAAGACATCTAGATCTACAACTTTCATGTTTTGCACTTTTTCAGATTCAAAATTTATCATGATCAAAAATAAGGAAAACAGTAAGTCTGGAAAACCCCCAAAACAGACGATGAACAGTAAAAGTCGGGATTTTTGGGTTTTAAAACACCCATTCCAAGCCCTATTTCTCCCATTCTTCATTTCCCTTCCACTCTAAATACCTTAGAGCCCTAAGAGAAGAGAAAAGGGAGAGAAAAACACCAAGGTCAAGAGAGATTCCCACCTCATAAAGATCAAAACCGAATTTCTCAAGTTTTCTCTTCTCCACCCATTTCTTTTGCTTCTATTCCTCAACCACTCACACCCAAATCTCTAGAAACCCTAGGAGGACGAAATTAAGAGGAAAAGGAAGGAGAATAGGAAGATTTTGAATCTTGGGTCTTAGATTGAAGCTACAACCAAGAGGTAGGGGATTTCTTCCTAATTTCTTACTTGAGGCTAGGGTTTATGTATATACATATGTTTTCCACTCCCATCCATATTTATTTGAAATGATTTGTATGATTCTTAATTCTCCTTGTAATAAATGCTATGTTTGAATAATGGGATGGTTTGGTAACCATTAAATTTCTCTTTTTCATCTTCCAAACTTGGTTTTAAGAAAAATTGAGTTTTCTCCATATATTGCCTTGGTTCTCACTTTATAAATTTAGTGTTCGATATTGTTCAACGAAAATGATCTTTATATTGATCTTTTGCTCATTTTAATTCCATCTTGCTATGACGCTTTACTTGTGAAATTTGGGTATTTTGCGATTAATTGGTAAAATGTGAATTGATTGAGAATATGTTGGTTTACTCATTGTATGGTGGTTGTGAGGGACTTGGATTACCTACGAGATATGCCGTAGAGTGTAAATGTCAGTTGAACCCAGTGGGGGGGGGAGATGGTTTCTTGCACTTGTAGTGAGTTGTCATTTGGTAATGCGACCACTATCGTACGCCTGGAGTTCGAACTAGGGTTGGTATACCATTCCTGGGGAGGGACTCGTCACTGCCATTGGGATGGTAGACGCCCCTTCCCTAAGTACTTGTGATTGTGATTATAAAAGGGTGGACTAGGTATAATCGTTGGGTAGATTCATGAGAAACAATCAACATACATGGTACGGGGATGAACCAACATAAATGTGATGATTGGCTGGAATGGCTTGGCCGGTGCATTGGTATGGGACGATGCATCGGAGGGAGCCCCTCCTAATTGACTTAATGTTGGAAATGGTTTGCTATGGTTAAACTTAATTTATTTCTCTCCTTAACTACTGTATGGCTTAAACTCGAGATCTATTTAAAATGTCCCGTTTTACTTCAAATTCATATATGTTATTTATGAAATGTGACCGACCCGTTTTGTATTTTATAAACCTTGTTGGAGTTGGGAAGATTTTGCTACAGAGCCTAGTGCTCATCCCCTACTGTTAACATTTTTCAGACTATATCCTTGAGGAGGAGCCAGGAGTCGAGGAGCCCGTTCTTTGGGAGACTCCGATCGACGGGAGCGTAGATCCCGAGGTGGACGCCTAGAGCGGCCCTTCTATTTTGTTCTAGACTAGGCTATGTTTTTTTGAAAGATTGTAAAGTCTAGTTATCTTTTGAAATTCCGCTGCTTATCATAGTTTAATTCTTTGGGAATGTACATGCCATTGTGGGCATATTTTTTTGGGTTAACATGTAAATTTGATGGATTGATTATATAGTAGTTAATTGGACCCGGTGTGGTCATTATAGTAGAATAGCACAGGTTGGATTTTGTGGTAGAGCTCCCCGTACAAAGGAGACTCTGCCCGAATTTTGTTAAAATATCAATGGTTGATGGATAAAAATTTCTTATTTATGGATTTATTTAGTGCTCTCATGATTGTGAAAGGTTTTAGAATGTAATGCCGTCCGAGGGGGTATTTGGGGCGTTACAGAATCTGTGGACACGGCTGCTGTGGATCCGTCGTAAATCTGACCATGGAGGGAGAGAGAGAGAGAGAGAAACCAGTCGTTACAGAGGCGATCTCACCAACATTACATCACTTTCACTATATTGAACAATCTCCATTTTTCATCACCACCAACCAACCATGCATTAAACAATCTCCATTTTTCCTCAATTTGATATTGACTTGATGAACCAGAGATTCCAGAATACTAAACAAAATGCTACGACTTCGATTCTTACAAGTCTATCTTTCTCCGTACAATCTCTCCTCTCTCTCTCTCCAAAACCCCACAAAACTCACCCAAAGCTTAGAATGTAAATGGGTTCTTACACGACGTCGTTTCAACAACCCTCAACCTCAAGGCTACTGTTCCGTCAGCTGTTCGAAAAGGAGTCCTCTACCTATACTTACCTTCTCGCCGATGCTTCTCACCCTGAGAAACCCGCCCTGGTAGTGTATTTTCTTTTAATAATTTAAGGTGATTTATTTTAGATTTACTGGTTGTTCTAAGAGTTTAAACGCCTAATTTCTTCCTCTATCTGTTCAAAGATGAATCATTTACCTTGGAATCAAAGTATTTGTGAAGAATAAATTTCTCGTGACTTGACTCCAAAAAATTATCAAAGTTTAAATTCAAAACCTTTAAGTTTACATACCTCGTACTATAATTACGATGTCCGAT